CAAAAAGTAAGCGTATCTTTGACACTGCGTTTTCCAAATCCAACAGGCTTATATAATTTGGTTAACTACTATGCCAGGGCATGATCTCACACGTTACAAAGAAATGATCTTAAAGGTACTAAATGGTTGTGTAATTTAGCAATATATACAACATTATTAAGTCAAGAAACCGCTTTGATTCCTCCCGTTACGGATGGACATTCAGCTGCTACAGAATCTGAAATACTGGGTCCCCCTGATACATCACATTAATTTTGGAAGGAAACATGTCACGACATACTAACATTTCGTTTAATGTTTTCAGTTGCTGACGAAACATACAGACACATATAGCGCATCCGTTTGATAAATCCTTAGGAACCAAGGTGTACAGATAGACAGGGCCTATGACAGTTATAAAATAGCATAAGAGGTGAACACCAATAGCATGTGAACTGATTCAGTTCATAGCAGTTAGCAGCACAAAATGGGATGATGTCATTTGATCAGCAATACCTCACTAATTACAAACAGTTTGCCTAATAAGGGTTTAAATAAGGAAGCAGGATCGATTGTGTCTAGATATCATGGAGAGTTTTGCAATGGATGACCTCGGATTCCTTGTGATCGTCTGATTATCGAGTGTGGGTTAGGTCGTTGACTTCAACAAACACTTTGGAATGTATTTAGTCATTCGTTGCGATAACTGACCGTTGGTTCTGTCTATGTAAGCGTCAACGCAACTGACAGTGAACTGTTATACAGTATGTGAGACAGAACTGGATTGCCGACCATGTTTGATGTCGTCCAAATCTATTCTAAAGGTATAGACAGTAAGTTGAATTTGAACAGCATGAAAAGTGCCATTCAGAACGGACTTTAGAGGATGGGTATCATCGTTCATTGACAAATAATTTGACGTAGACTGCTTTATGAGGAAAAGTAGCAGAATAATTACCTTTTCGGAAATGTTTACAATAGATACCAATGAATCTCTCTGGTTATCCTTTCCACAGTAACGTCTCACTTAGGAACTCTTCTTCCTCTCGCAGTGTTTCTGGGGAACAAATTTTCCGGGCTAGATGGAATGTATCTTTTACAAGTTATAGTTTGTTGGCCACCGTTAGGAAGCTAGAGAAATGCATACACTGACAGCTTGATGTTGCTTCTTGGTGAACAAAGCAAATTAATGTAGTAGCCATTGGCAGTTCTTTATCCAGCTAAGTTTCGAATTTAAGTCTTTGTTCATTTCCCGCTGGCGAACTTGAAATGTTTCACCGTATTTACTAGCCTGTTTTCCATATTTTTGGGTTTTCGTTCATCTTCTTACTGATTTCCAGGTTTATTTGCGGATCTATACAATTATAAGTTAGTCGGCTAACATTTTTCACGCACAAGCGGTATTCCCTATTTACACTTGCTCGACGTTACCGCCAACAAACACTTCACCTCTCGGGAAAACGTTTGCAATCATATTCCATTAGACATCACTCACTCATTACACACAGAACTAAAACTATGTTATGCATTTCCGTAGCCAGGTTTTTGTGAATGTTTTTTCTACTGTCTATCGTGTGCTTGTGATCTGATATCTTTTGAGGTTTCCAGCGCAGAATGCATCCGTCAGAGACTACATTTTAAAAACCATAGATAATGGATATCTGTTTCCAAATATCTGATACTACCATCCTTTTGAATTTACGACACTGCATTCTAAATTTTTCTTTGTGAGTGTATGCAATTATATATCATACTGGTGTGCAAGGAGCTGAAAATCGGTCGATTCGGAGGAGAAGAGCAGTTTGTGATTTGAAAGTTATGAAGATCGGCGTTAGTATGAAACCGTGCAGATTAGGGCACTATCGAATACATGTATTCTTTGTAGTACATACTGCCATGTGCTTAGACTTGGAGTGAATGCCAGATTTCGTGATAAATTTGCTAAGATGTGAATGAAAACGCTAAGATGGATCTAGTATTATTCCGACAGACCATTTATGGTAGGTTTTAAAGTGCTATGAAGAAAGGAAAACTACACAATTGGTTTACAATGTTCACCACTGTGTCGACTTAACCGTTTGAGAGATGTAAGTATGAGTTGAAAGTCTTCGATAAGAAGACGAAGAACGATAACTGGGGATGCATAGAGGCAGTGTGGAAAGATGCAAAAAAGATAAACGTTTTTTTCTTTTCGAGTGAATCAATGTAGATAGCAATATTAAATGAATAACGCAAAAATGAATAACCTATGTGAAAGACTTCGGTGATACGAGAGGATCAAAAGCTTCCGATTACTAGTAACTTCGAGATATTTTACAGAGCAAATTCTGACGAAATATTCTCCAGGGATAACAACACACAAGCGTTCCATACATCAATGCATTTGCCCTCGTGTAGCAAAGAAAATAAGAAATGCATGCGCTTGAGGGCTTCATAATAAAGTTACATTTTGATAACCAGTAAGTGAACAATTTATTGCTATGCATAATTTTAGAATACGCAAAGGAATTTGGAAAGTTCATGCCATACTCAACGTCGCTTGTTTAATGAGCGAACAAATAGAGGTAGAAACCAGGAAGAAAAACAGAATACCGCGTTGAAGAACACCCTCAGTAAATGTTAAAATCAAAGAATTTTGTCCTTCATATTTAGTATACTAAAGGCGGTTGATGAAATAATTAGGTATTAAGTTTGTTAAAATTGCCTCGCACCCCATTTTGAGCGATAGAGCTAGAAAAGGTTCTGTCCTATAGGCAAAGTGGAAGGCATAACTATTTTCAAAGAAACACGGCTGAACGATTTGAAATTTATTAGCCCAAGAAGAGGGAGCCTTGCATATGAGTGACTCTGGGGCATCCGGGTGGGAGAGGGAGGGGAAATCGGGAGTCACCTTGGTCAAAGTCAGTTGCATCTAACTGGGATGGCATGATCTGTAATAAAATATTTTCCGGAACTTTCAAACCAGCAGGCTTGTAAGCAATTGGAGGAAATTTAGTCATTGCCTTTTTAGGTACCTTCGTGGTAAAAGCCACTCACCAGATATCCGAAACACAATGCTGAATAAAATACAAGTTGAGTAGGTTGAAATAAAACAGGGACACTGCACATGCTTTAGACAAATCACGATGGTCTGTCCTGATTGCATGGATTGTTCAAGTGAAGACTGAAGAAAATTTTGAAATTTTCCTTTTGGTCCGCACTGAAGTTTGCATCATTGAGGAAAAGGACGCCTACAGTGTATCGAACCGGGGCTCCGGTTGTAGCAGTAATGATTTGTTGACTGAAACAACCGGCGTTGGCAGCTGACCGATTATCTTTCAATTTGGTACTGCAAAAGCTGAAAGAAAGGGAAAACACTAGGAATTATCTCCGTAGTTCAGTCTTTTATCGCCTTTGAGATTACTCCCAACAAAGATTTCTTTTTCGCCCTATAGTATGTTCTTTTCTCTGACGAAATTACCTGAATGTGGGAGAGGAGAAACGATCTGACCGTAATTATGAAGTCTCCCACGGAGCAGCACGTATCATGGCAAAACTTCAAGCAGTCATTCACGGTATAATAAAAGATTGAGGGATCATTATTTATAAATTAATGTGGTATCTGATGTAGTATATGTTAGAACCCATCGACGTTTTCGCACTGAAATAAAGCCGACGGAGCTGACAATCACGATACAAAATGATGAATTTAGGACTAGCTCTACTGTGGATCACAGAAGAGTGTCCGTGAGTTTCCGTGCTCAAGAGTGTCAATAGGACAACAAAAACACACGTTAAACGACTTCGAGCTCTTAACAACAAACACACTGGGACAGCTATCAAATCTAGCGTGGAGGATACTAACGTTCTGCAGCACGAAGGTATTCAAGACAGTGAAGACAAACTTAAAACGTCACACACGATACACACGATACAAAGGGAAGAGTTTGCTTTATTTAATGAAGTGGTTGAAAAAATAACTGCGTGCTCGTCAAAGCTATTAATAGGATAACCATGAGAAATATAAATGTTACCAAAAATAACGGATCAGTGAACACTGCGGTGACTAGGTCTGTATGGAGATCGAGAAGTTCTGATAAAAGTAGTGGAATGCAACAATGCTTGTTTGCAAAGTAGCACCAATGGTCGTCTGTGTATGCGATAACGCCCCCACTCTATTTTAGAACCAGGCAATAGAAGACTACTTATGCAACATTTCATTCAGCTTCGTTTACTAAACAATGGCTGTCTAATCCTTCATTTCATATTTTTATCAGCATTGCTGGTCAGTGTTGATTTTGGAGACTGCTGAGTTTTCGGAATTGATATTCATGCACCATTCGTTGTTTTCTTGGAAAATCCGATACGGTAATTGTTGTTTGACTGGGGGTGAAACAGGTTACAGTGCGTTTCCTTTCTGTATCACCGGGTCAAATAAGCTGGCTTACTGTCAGTACTAGAAGAGATATGCACTAAAGCAAAAAGATAATTATGGTCAATTCCGTTGGATGCTAATTGCTTAAGGGGCAACACACACGACGTCATACTATACTACGGAGCCCTCGTTTCTGATGGATCAATAGATGTATGCTACTGCAGAAAGTAAGTAAACAGGAATATCAAGTCTTTTGCATTCCATGATAATACTGAGTTGATTAAACTGAGGTTCGTTTAATGCAGAGTGTGCAATGATCTTTATTTCTGGAGTTTGTCTGAAGGTATTTTTGAAACTCTTACTGAAGTATCAGTGGTTTATTGAGCCATTGCTTTCTTCACTTGAATGTTCACTCCATGTACCTACTCAAAATTAAAAATAATCTGAATGACTAGAAATTTATGAATCCAAAAATAGTACCTCAAATCGGATTACAAGTATGATTTTAATTCTTACTGATATAAATTTGTGACATTCACCAAAATCATCAGTAACGATCTATGGTACGTTATTGGTATCAATGTTACTTTATTAGTGATTTGTATCAAAAGAATCGAAGTCACTTTCAAACTGCAAGTTTTATGGTCATCTATACGTTTTTCTTTAGTAATTCTGCTGGTCACATACGCAATCTACCGCTGATAGCCATGCAACGACCCACAATGGACGGTGATTTTATGAACGGGGATCTGGAATCAAACAAATATTCACGTTCTAGTCTAAGAGGTGAGCGTTTGTCTACATCGGTACTAACTGCATTCTTTCTTGCATGACAATAGAGCACTGAGGAATATATATAACTCGCTGCGCTGATATTAAACAAAATACGTATTGTATTAAGTGGACTATCCGCACCACGCTGTGCATCAGTGAGTGCAAACAAAGAGCACTGGATCTCATTCAAACTATGCCAGAACTTTCTATCCATGCTAGAATCTGAAAACAATCCACTGGCCCTAATGCATAAACAGCACAATGAGAAGTTCACTAATATTGTATACATATATNATATAAAACTTCATATTGAATTACCCGGGATGTGACATACTTTGGACACTATCGTTTGATATGAGCTGATCTAATGTTATTTTAAATACCTTTGATGTGGAAACTGTTAATGCGAAAATAAATTACTAGGAATTTCGAAACATCTACCATGTGAAACATTCAGCAATGTAACACAACATCATTTGCGTTTATTTAAACGTATTTACTCGATTAAA